GAGGATCCATCCTGGGCCCGGTACCGGCAGGAGGTTGGCAGTGAGCTGAGATCATGCCACCTGCACTCCAGCCTACTGGTGCACAGAGTGAGACCCTGTCTTGGGAAAAAAATAAAAAAAGGAGATTGTATTTGTAGTTCAGGACTAGAATTAGACCCTGTTCTGCTCCATTATGTTGCGGATGAGTGTTGCCTAACTCTAATAAGACGACAATGTTTGTGGCAGTAGCACTGTGAAACTTTGGCAGGACACGTGAGCCAACTGTACTACTAACAATTATCCAAAAACCAAAATGATTATTAGTCGGAACAAATGGCTTTATTTTTCAGCTGTTCTACTTATCACTCTGTATGTACTATAGGTGCAGCAAGAAGTATTTGGCTATACATTCTAAAAAATCCCCATTTTGTACTAAGTTAACGAGGAATCAACGGATGCTTGTTGTCACCATAACCAATCCTAGCTACTAAATTTTAGCAATAATGTTTGCTGGCTTTGGATTTAAAGTATGTATATTTAGGACTTCTGCTAAGCGGTAAGAAAAACATAACCATTTTGAACCACATTTTTTGGCTATTGTGTTTTTTCATTTTTTATATTTATTTATTTTTTTGAGACGAAGTCTCGCTTCTGTCGCCCAGGCTGGAGTGACAGTGGCGCATAATCTCCGACTCACTGCAAGCTCACGCCTCCAGAAGTTACACACCATTCTTCTGCCTCAGACCTTCCAGTAAGCTGGGACTGCAGGCACCCACCACACGCCCGGCTTATTTTTTTTTTGTATTTTTTAGTAGAGATGGGGTTATCACTGTGTTAGCCAGGATGTCTCAATTCTCACTGACCTCGTGATTCCGCCCGCCCTCGTCCTCCCAAAAGTGCTGAAGGGTCATTTACAGTCTTGAGCCACTCGCCTGTAACCTAGTTGATTTATTTCTAATTGTAGGTGAAGTCACTGCGCTTGCATAATGTGCAAATGACAGAGGCCAATCTAGGTTCTTCCAAAGCAGCCTTGTGTATC